CAAAGTCCCTATGGGTGTATAATCTTGAGTTCGAGATCGCTTTTCCCTCACAATCGATGTTTTAGTGCATTTAGGCATCGGTCCCTGAGGGGCATCGACGCCGTCGATGATCATGTGAATGACGTGTTGCGGTTCTTCTGGCTCATTTTGCTTGCCGAATTCCTTATTCTTAAAATGGTTCTTCGCCCTATCACTCAGAAATTCTCGAAGGTGTCCTTTGTTAAATAAGCGGGCCACTTCCTCTCTTAGTTGCCTGCAATCTTCCGTTCTGTGGCCATGGGTGCCATGATATTCGCACATTTGATTAGGATTCCTTTGGGCAGGATCGGTCTGCATGGGTCGAGGCCATCTGGTGTCTTTGATGCGCCCGATGGCCGATATGATAGCGGATGTACCAATGTTGAAGTTATACTCCGATAATCAAGGGACTTCTATAGGATCGGCATATTTATCAAAGCCGCTCTTGCTCATAAGTCCCCGAGAAATTTGTCCTCGATCAGTCCTTCGGTTGTTCCGAATGGCATCACATGCTGAACCGTTGTTCATCCGATATGTGTCGTACGGCTGGTATCGGTCTCTGTTCGACCTTTGTTCTCTGTTGATTTCCCTCTGATTTTTAGTGGTTGTGTGGTTTTGACGTACGGGCCCATACGGAGCTCCCAACTGATCATCTTCAACCCTGATTTTTGATTGGTACCGGTTGTGTACATCTGCCCAAGTTATTGCTGGGTACTCGATCAAATTTTGTTTCAGCTGACGTGATGCTGTCGAACTTAGCCCGTTTAGTCCTTGGGTGAAAGCTTGTACGGCCCAATCGTCTGTGACCGGTGGCAAGTCCATACGTTCCATTTGAAATCGGGATACGAATTCCCTCAGCATTTCGTTGCCCCTTTGTTTTACTTTGAAGAGAACTGATTTCCTTGTTGCAACTTTTATGGCATCGGCGTGTGCTTTTACGAACGAATATGCTAACATGGCAAAGGAATCAATGGAATTTGGTGGTAAGTTGTGATACCAGATCATTGCTCCCTTTGCGAGGGTCTCTCCGAACCTTTTCAACAACACGGATTCGATCTCATCATCCTCCAAATCGTTGCCTTTGATGGCACATGTGTAGGAGGTGACGTGTTCGTTAGGATCGGTTGTACCGTTATATTTGGGAATTTTGGGCATACGAAATTTTTTGGGGATTGGTTTTGGGGCCGCGCTCGAGGGAAATGGCTTTTGTATGAATTTTTTCGAATCGAGCCCTTTTATCATTGGCGGAGCCCCCGGGATTTGATCGACCCTAGCGTTATACGTTTCCACTTTTTTGTCGTTGGCTTCGACTCGTTTTGTGAGTTCCTCGAGTAATTTAGCAATTTCGGGAACGGTCCCCGATACCTGCTCGTTTGATTTCACTACGGCGGGCTCCGTTCTGGGGGTGACTTCTCGAAGAAGCGGATTGGAGTTCGGTCCGCTTTGCATATGAGTTCGGCTCTGCAACTGAGCTATCTCTGTTTGTTGGGCTTGTAACATTTCGAAAATCATACGCAAGCTGACCCCGATTTCCCCCGTGCTGCAGGTGTCTCGGGCTATGGATCGAGCACCGCCCTGAACGCTTCTTTCCGGTTCAGAACGCTGATTCACTTCTAGAGATATTTGTGAATTGATATCCGACGGTACTTCGGCTCGAATTTTGGGTTCTTCGATTCGAGCCTCGTTGCCGTTGTTAGGTAGCTTTCCGGCCCCGGGCGCCAAGTTGTTGGTTTCATCTTGAAGGCCGGCTCCGAGGTCGATAGGTAGAGCCATTTTGAAGTTGTAAACTGGAGAGTACTGTAGATTTATATCAAACAATCACTATTACCCTTAGCCCCACGGTGGGCGCCAAACTGTTTACCCGAAAAATCGGATAATGTTAAATTTAGATATGGTTCTAAGGGTATGCGAGTTCTTTTGATACAAAATGACAATACATGTATTTTTGCTATAAAATGGGAATGATGGACGAGAAGACTAAAATGAGTTGGAAAAACAAGCACAATAAAATCTTGATGTATCTTGAAGGACTTGCCTCTATTGCAATCTATCCCTCTTTTTATAGTAGAGGATCACTGCTTTATCTATAACAACATAATAAAATAATACATATAGTGGAGGACCCATGATGGTTTGTCTCTTCCTTGATTCTCGCCAAGATTCTCTCCATCGGTGCGGTTGTAACGGCTCTTGTCTGCGAGCTTGGTACTGGCTCGAGCTCGGTGTTAGATCGAACCCCCAGTCTTGGTTCGAGCTCGGTTTCGCCTTGGGGCATCGATATTCGGGGCCTGTATCGATCGGTGTTGTCCCGTAGTCCGATTCGGATACGGGCTCGATAATGATATCGAGTTTTGCCGTTGATTGGTCTTATAGCTCGAAGCTCGACGTCCCTACTTCGGAATTCGTCCGAGCTTGCTATGTGGATACCATTCGATTAAAACGGCATTGTCTCGACCAGTCTTTATGACTGAGAATCGGTTTCGATCGTACACAACAACGTATATTACTGAGTCCAAAAGCACCTAGGTAGTTTATTTATTCTATTTTGCCATTGTACAACAGTAGAAATGAGGTAACTTCGATACAGTTGACTTGGGATTGGCATAATGAATTTATAAATTACCTACAAGAGAGCGGCTCGGCAACTTAAGATCCGGTAAACCACGTATTGTTTTATTGAAGGAAAACTGTACTGGAGAAAATTTAGTGGTCCTTTAACTAAGTGCCTAGACCAGGAGAGAGATTATATGATGAGAGAAGTAAATGAAGGACATTGTAGCAATCATTCTGGGCCAGACCTTTAGCTCAAAAACTCATTACAGTCAGATACTATTGGCCTCCAATGCAGTAAGACACGAAAGAATTTGTCAAGAAATGTAAAAAATGTAAACATTTCGCCCATATACTACACCAGCCGGGCCGAGCCACTCCATTTTGAAATCATTATAAACATTTATTTAAGGTATTAGATTATGCTTTAGAAAAGCAAGCATTTCAAAGATTAAAGTCTTAATTATCTCGAGTTGAGTAAGTCCCTCAAGCACTAAAGGCTCAAACCCCGTCTTAAATGACATCCAATGGTCCCAATCTATGTAACACATTGAATAACAGGATCAATTATCCTATCAAGACCCATTTTATAATTTTTAAGAAAAAGTCAAAGTCAAATTTCAAAGTCAATTCACAATCAAATTAGTCAAACCCCGAAACAAAATGTAGAATCAGATTATCCATTAGTTCACCATCCAATTCCATGAATAGATTCATGATTAGGGTCGATTTACCCATTCAAATCTAGGATTTACTATTTTAGGTACTTCGATAAAACATCTCCAATTCCTATCACTCGATCTCATGTTTTGAGTGTCAAATACTGCATATATTCAGGTAATAAACTCAAAGAGGGATGTAGAATCATTACGTTAATCCATTAGGTGATGAATCCCCAGTCCAAGTAGCTAAAGTTCGTGGCTGAAAATGAAGCATGTCCTTTCATATTTAAGCCTGGACACCTAGCAATCACGATTGCAGTCACGTCTCTACTATTGTATAACGGATCTTGCCTAATTTTGGCGTTCGCGACAACACCTTCGCTAGTGATGATAACCCTAGGATGGGCCATTTTTCACGTTCGCGAGCTTCTAATTGCTACCGTGGTCAACAATTGGTGGAAGTGACTGATACAATAAATGTGATTTCAATTTTGATTATATAAAGTATTGGTGAATTCTTTTTATTTTTATTTTTTGGAAAAGAAAGTACTGTAATCATTCTGTATAATGGAGATAGGAGGAAAGGAATGGACAAGATTCTAACTTTGGACGCAATTGTCCCGGTAACATGCATTTAGAAGCGTCACCCGAGAAATGCGGCTACTTGATCACATATTGTTTAAAAATTCATTGAAAATATTATATCTCATATTCTTTTAAAATGACTTTTCCACCACTTAGAATTTTAAGGATAACGATTTGTTTTCTTTTTCTTTTTTTACTTTGCTTCATATCTATAGATTGAAGTACAATAAACATCTTTGTACTATGATTATGTAACATGAAACCCTCATTTTTTGAAACCAAGATCTTAACTCCATTAATCTTCTAATTACTGAATATTCTGTAACGATGAACTAAAGAAAAGTGATGCGTAGTCTCAAATACTTTTATGGGTAAATTTTTTTACTACTTTTCTCTAAGTCTATTGTGAGACTACAACTATGTTTAGCATTTGCATTACTTTTCACAACTCGAGTAATCTCATACTGAAAAGAAATGCTCAGTCAGTATCTTTTCTATTATTTTTTTTTTAAACTCTTTTGGCCTTTACAAGTTAGTTTTAAATTTCTATGGTTGAAGTCTCCCATTTTTCATCATTAAGAGAGTTAAATACATGTCAACTGATGCCAATACTTTGTAGTATTTAATTATAGATTGTATAATATATAACATTTGAGATGGAAATAATAGTAAATAATTAAAAAAAATATCTGGAATTTATTTTTCTTAATGTATGATATTACTCATAAACTTTTTGTAAATACAACGCTTGAAAATCAAAATGTATATTATGTTAATTCAGGTGAGAGAAGAGCTAATAAGAAGAGTTTGGGTAATGTATTGTCACTTAATCTTTCCAACTAATAATAAAATTATATAAATATTTTTATCACATTAAAATAATTGAATTATGTATGATAATTGCTCAAAAAATACAAATGTCCATAAGGTCAAATTAACAAAAATTGTAGAGTTAGGAAGAGAGAGAGAACAAAATATATGTTAAAGTTAAAATAGCACAAACAGTTGCATTGATTTGATCCGCATGATGATGTACATGGAGGCACACATTGAAAATGAACCAGCTCAAAGCCCTAAATAGTTTAATCAGATTATTAATACTGCTACTACTACTACTTGTTTAATTAATTAAAATACTCCCTTTTCTATTATCCCCACTTGTTGCGTATGGAAATGAGCACTTTTATGTGAAAAGTCAGCGACCTCCCCTTTCTTCCTCTCTTCAGAATATCCATCAAACCATTTTCTCTCTCTCTTTCTTTGCTTTCTTGAGAAGAAGAAGAGGAGAAAACAAACAAAACAAAGCATTTGTTTCAATATTCTCTGATCTTTTGCTTCTTTGCAAAATTAGCCACAAGAGTACAACAAGTCTTTCTTAACCTAAATATATACAAGTGCATGTTCTTTACGTCTGTTTGGTGCAAAACATACCAAACTATTCTTTGTGGACTATCAAGAATAGGTCAAATCAAGAATCTGCTGCTGCTTAAAAATTCTTTCTCAAAGTCATACATAGAGAAAAGCAAAAATTAAGGCAATTATAGCTAGGCATGTGCAGCAAGTTCCAGCTGCAAAAAACAACCATGGAGAATAATTATCAAGGTGATTTAGCAGATATATTCCTAGGTAGCAGTGGACAAAATATAAGTGGTGCAAATAATATCAGCACCACCTCTGGTGAGTCATCACCGACTGTTGCTGCTGCTGCTGTTACTGACGGATGGCTAGGTCAGTTCCCTTGCTATCCGATAAATTATTCGGCCTCTGGAATTGAAGAACCGTCAGTTCAAGATTTTGGAGATCCGTTTTGTAACTTGAGAGATCCACTTCTCCATGATCTTGATATGATGCCTGCCGGTTCCAACTTATTCATCTCGAACAAGGACAATATCAACAATAACAATGATAATATTAGTCTTTTTGGACCGAAAATTCTTGAGGAGACTGAAATGAAAAGTCGACCAACAGGCAATATCTTTTCAAGGATGCTTCAGATCTCTCCTACTACCAAGTTGGCGGCGATGTCACCATGTAATTCTCCGATGACTGCTGCCGTAGCCTTGCAACCGCCCTCCACTGTTATTGCTACTGGTGGTGCATTAGTTGCTAATGATGCAATTATGTTTCCTAATTCTTCTAAAACTTGCTTAGTGGAAAACTCTGGCTTGCAGATCTCATCTCCGCGAAATACGGGTATCAAACGAAGGTGAGTAAATTCTTGAAAATTAATATACTATACTTGAACATTGAAAATTCTTACTATATTTTATGTAATGCCCAGATCATAGAGTACTGCAAATTGTGTAATTTATTTCATACGAACATGATTGGTGCCTAGTTTTAAGAGATTTTTATGACTTCACCTTTTTTCAATGAACAAGCAGAAGAAAGGTAGAAAAATCATGTAAACAGTATATACTACTCCTACTATGTAGATTTAAATGAAAACATAGGGTCCTGAGTGAACAATTGAAAAAAAAAGAAGAAGGAAAACCAGAATATATTGATATGTATATATGCATGAAATCCGGGTGATATTTCCCATCTAAATTAATAAAAGCATCTAGAACTACTTCTTCAATCAGACTTAGCTTTCAACTTGTTTATCTTTCTTTACTTTTTAATCGAAAAAACTACCAAGAAAGGGGCTTTTCAATTTGTGTCCATCACTTTCAGCTAGAAATATTTCCATGATTACCTCTTGTCAACAAGAAGTAGAACAGTTTTGACACGACTGAAAGTAAAGTCGATCGATTTGAAATCAATCGTCTAAATACCAAAGATTTCATTTGATGCATCCAAAATCTCACACACTCACCAGGAGCCTTTTAAATTTTCAGTCAACGGTATTGAAAATGAAAAGAAAAATACAAATAAGTCCTGCATTAGTTGATACAAAAGGTTTCTTGATGTATTAGGGTTTATTATGCAAAAGTGAAGCATATATATTTTAATTTGCAGAAAGAGTCAGGCGAAAAAGGTGGTATGTATACCAGCACCAGCACCAGCAAACAGCAGGCAAGGTGGAGAAATAGTTCCATCAGATCTATGGGCTTGGAGAAAGTACGGTCAGAAGCCAATCAAAGGCTCCCCTTACCCAAGGTCAGTAATTACTCATACTAAGCTGAAAGAACACAGTTTCTGTACACCTGCACTGACAATGTGTTTTACTCTAAGAAGATTTTGTGTTTCCTTTGTGACAAATTGGGAATTTTCTTTAGAAATCACCAATTGTTTTTTATCGTCCGTAAAGACTTCTCTGAACAAGCAAGCTTTTGCAAAGTCCAATGGATGCTTTCAAGCTTCTTTGGAAATTAAGAGATAATACTATAATTATTATTGTTTTAAGTGATGAATTTAATTGTACTAATAAAAATTCCTATGATGTTCTTCTGATTAATAAAAACCCAAAGTTATAACTATGATGCAACTCATCATTCATCTTTCATCCTCGAAAGATTTACGTGAGTAGAGTTCATTCACTTCAAAAATAATAATACTCCCCCGTTCTAATTTATGTGAACCTGTTTGACTAGGCACAAAGTTTTAAAAAATGAAATTTTTGGAATTTGTGATCCTAACAAGTCAGAAAAGGATCCAAAGTATTTGTGTGGTTATAAACTCTTCTAGTTAAGGGTATAATTAGAAGTTTAAGCTAAATTGTTTCCAAATTTAGAAATGGGTCATTCTTTTTGAAACGGACATAAAAATAAAATAGATTCACATAAACTGGAACGGAGGAAAAAATAGTTAATGAACCAATACACTACTACTACTATCTTCGGTCCATATTTAATATTTTTGTATACCCCTTAGGAAAGACAGTTAATCATTAGATTAGTATATGTTTTGTCTCAAATATTTTGGAACAAATACAGGGTCTCCATAAATTAATATTTAGAGTTTTGGTCATCTGAAATTAATGCAGGGGCTACTATAGATGCAGTAGTTCTAAGGGATGTTCAGCAAGGAAACAAGTGGAAAGGAGCAGGACAGACCCAAACATGTTAGTCATCACCTACACTTCAGAGCACAACCATCCTTGGCCAACCCAGAGAAATGCCCTCGCTGGCTCAACCAGGTCTCAGCCTAATAATTCCAAACACACTACTACTTCAACCTCTAAGAACAACACTAATTCAAAAGATGATGAACAAAACACTAGCACTGTTGCACAAGTGAATATTTCAAAAGTGAAGGAAGAGGTGGCTGAATTACAAGACCTAAGGCATGATCATCATCATCAGCAACTTGCTGTGGAAATGCGTGATTTCGAATTCTCTAAAGACAGTTATCAGCCAATATTACCAGACTCATCATCGAACCACTCTCACGAGGATTTCTTCGCCGATTTGGTAGAACTCGAAGCTGACCCTCTAAACCTTTTGTTCGCCAAAACTCTCTCGGGAGATATTAATGAAGCGGGACAGAAGAAGGCCATTGATGCGTTCAACTTGTACGATTGGAGTGGAAACAACAACAATAAGAGTCAAGCCGACCCATAACAAGATTCGATCAAACACAGGGAAAAAAAGAAAATAAAGAAGCACACTAAATCTCACTTGGTACATATTCTTGACTAGTGCTATAGTTTCTTGGGTGAGAATTTTCTGCAAGGTCGTGAGAGCATAAGCCAAGTAAAGAGGGATTGATATCTCTTGGCTATAATTTTCCTCCTCTTTTTTTTTTTTTTTTCTTTTCTTTCTGTTGTGCATTAATTTGGTCTGGCTAGCCTAGTATTGCTGCATACTGTACAAGTATCACTTTTCATAATCTTGTCTTCTGACTTACCAGAACAGTGAAGAGATTAGGAAAGGAAAAAGTAGGAAAAGGAGTGCTGGTTGATTGGGAGCAGGGCCTACGAGAGAGAGTCCTCCATTCCTTTTGGGAATATTAGTGGATGGGACAGAAAGCTGAGGAACAGAAGGTTTCAACAGTTAAAAGCTAGCTAAGCTACATCGTCTATCGGATCAGACATGACCAGATAGAGGCGATTGACGTGCGATGGAACTCCCATCTTTTTAGTGGGATAAATAATTGAAGCCTACTCCCCTCATTTACCATACGCTCCAACAAAATTGAAAAAGAAAAATAGGAGGACCCAAAAAGCTTCTCTATTTCCTTTCTTTCTTACTGATTTAACAAAAATGTTTATTTAGAAAGAAAGGATCATGGTACTAATTAAATAATAAAACTGAGGTTTAAAAGGAATTCTTCTTCTTTTGTGACATGACAAAAGCGTTTAAGGTGGTCATGTCTGAGGTTTTTTGAGAAGATACGTTGACAAGATGCAAGCTTCGGGTTCCTCAGCTTTCTGTTTGTTAATTCCATTATATTATTTTAGTTGTGTTTGTTTTGGATATTGTATGTAGTTTACGAAGCTTTTGAGATAATTTAGAAGTTTTTTGTTTATCTTTTTATTTTTCCCTAAATATAATAATTTCAGTCAAGCTTTTATTATACTCCATTCGTTTTAATTTATGTAACTCATTTGATTGGACACATAATTTAAGAAAAGAAAGAAGATTTTTGAACTTGTGATGTAAAATGAGACACATATATTTTGTGTGGCTATAAATCATTGCATAAATATAAATTGTTTCCAAATAAGGAAAGATGTTATTCTTTTTGGCATGAATTAAAAAGGAAATATGTTCACATAAATTAAAACAGAGGGGGTATGTCGAAAGAGAGAAAGAAAATTCTTTTTTATCATTTATATGTAATGACCCGATCAGTTGTTTTGAGTTTTAAGATCATATTTCCCTATTTAATACTTCCTCTAGGTTCATTTGATGTTTTATGACTTATGGATATGGGTGGTACAGGTCCCGAGAGGTTCCAGAGTGATTTATAATACTTAGGGATCATTTGGCAGGATATATATTAGGGAAAATAATACATTATATTAGCTTTGATATTATTAATACATTGATTGGTAGTGTTTTTGACTTATGTAACTAATACAAGTATTAGTTATACACCTTATTCAGTTCTATTCTTATACATATCAAATAATGGCATTAGCAATACTATGATTTTTAATACATGAATAAGCATGTATTAAAGAAAGAATTCTTTTTTATCATATATGTGTAATGACCCGACCAATTATTTTATGTTTTAGGATCCTATTTCCCTATTTGATACTTCCTCTAGGAACATTTGATGTTTTATGACTTGTGGATATGGGTGGTACATGTCCCGAGAGGTTCCAAAGCGATTTACACTTCTTAGGGATAGTTTGGTAGGATATAGTAGGGAAAATAATACATTGATTGGTAGTGTTTTGAACTTATGTATAACTAATTTATACCTTATTCAGTACTATTCTTATACATATCAAACAATGTCATTAGCAATACTATGATTTTTAATACATGAATAATCATATATAAAGATAGAAATTCTCTTTCAAAACCTTTAATAAACCAAACTATATAGTTGATAATAAATAAATCCATCATAACTCATCCCAGCGTTAATAATCCCAGCGTTACTAATACACCCTATTGAGTACTATTCTTATACACCTACCAAACGACCCCTTAGTTCCTAACTAGGCATTAAGTTAAGAGAGTTGACTAAACTCAACATTTTAGGTAAACGAGGTTGAATTCGTGATTTAAAGTTCCTATAGGTTCGTATGATAATTTGGACTTATACGTATCTTTGGTTTAGCAGTCGTGGGGCTCATGTGTGATTCAAACATATCATGTGAAAGTTGAAATTTGAACAGCTTAAGAAATTTCATAAGTTCCGTTTGGACCTTAATTTCTAGTTGTGATATTTTTGTACATATTTTTATCCCTTGGATAAGTTCGTATAGGGTATATGTACTAGTTGGGATAGTTTGGAGGGGTCTCCAGGAGGCTCGGGTGAGTTTTGGGGTGCTTGAAGAGAGATTTGGAAGTGAAAAGGTTGTATAAAATGCATCATAATAGAGGCCAAGGTGGATGTGAAATAGTTGGGATGGTTTAGAGGGGTCCCGATTGACTCGGGTGAGTTACGGGGTGTTTGAAGAGTGATTAGAAGTAAAATATTGCATAAAAATACATCAAATGTGGAGGCCAAGGTGGATGTCCTTTGTTGCAGGCTAAGATGAGGACTGAATTCTGGACGCTTTGCGTCCAACATCGCGTCCAACACCTAGAGCTGGAATTTCTGCCTTTTGCTATAAATCTTTATTTCGTACTTGGGCTTTATTTTATCATTTTGGGAGCTAGGGAGCTCAGATTGAAGCTATTTTCGAAGTAATTTTCACTTAAGACGATGGGGTAAGTGATTTTCACTCAAACCTGTAATTATAACATGAATATATTATCGATTTTTCCTTAGAATCAAGGATTTAAAAAGACAAAAATAAGATGTTTGATTTGAAAGTTAATAAAGTGTATTTTGGGATTTTGAACACCAATTTAGGTTCGGTTTAGAAAATAATTATAAATTTAGACTCGTGGGATTATGGATTAATGAGATTCGACTTTTATTTTGAGATTTGACCAAATGAGCCCCGGGTTGACTTTTATTGACTTTTAAAATTTTGTTAAAAGATCAAAGTTTTATCACTTGAAATTGATTGTTATAGAATTATTTGTCTTCCTTGGGTAAGATCGGGCTCATTTGATGGATTTAAGGCTAGAAAGGGTAGATTTTAAAGAATAAAGCTAGTCTGGGATAAGGTAAGTATCTTTCTTAACCTCGACTTGAAGGAATTTTTTCCTAAAATGAATGTATGTTCTACATGCTACGTGTTGGGGGCGATTTATATGCAAGGTGACATATGCGGATACCGATATTATACCATGCTTTGGATAGATTTTAGGATGTTTATTCCTTATTTTGGCATATGCTTTTCTTTGTATGTTTCACTTGATTTACTTGTGTATGACTCTATGAACATCTTCATTTGCTAGTATCATGTTATAAGCACCTGTCTTATGCTAGTGTAAACATGATAGGATATTGTATATTATGATTAGTTGTTGTATGACTTTGATCATCTTATTCATGCTAGAATAATATTATAGGCATCATTCACATGATATTCAACATTATGAATTGTATGTACTTGTATTACATGGTAGATCTATATAGTCATACACTATTTCCTTTTAAGTACAATGATAGCATATAATTTTAGCTCTCATTATTCATCTAAGGTTGTTCGGGGGTTTAGATTTTACATTCCTGTTTGTGGTATTAGTTTGGACGTGTGCATTTCACATTCCTATTTCGAACATATAGATGTTAGGCTCCTGTTGCATGTGGATATGGATCGGTCTTGTTACAACCCAACATCTACTAGTCGTGATGGCACCTAACCCAACCCGCTAGGCAAGCCAAATAATAGCCAACACAACTCAAATAAGAATAACAGGAGTCAATGAATAAATAATTGAACTTCAATATAAATCCCAAGGATTGATAGTACAAGTCATGAGCTTCTAAGACTTAGAATTTACAAAGTTGGTACGAAATAAATACACTATCCATCCGAAATATACATAAACAAATTTTCAAAATCTAAAGCTACCAAGGACAAGTGGAAGCTATCACTGGAACGCAGGTACATCTTCAATACCATCTCCCATCTTACACAACAACATCAACTCCAAGATCTGTACGCAAGGTTCAGAAGTGTAGTATGAGTACAACCGACCCCATGTACTTAATAAGTAACAAACCTAACCTCAGGTTGAAAGCAGTGACGAGCTCAGAAAACGGTTAGTGTCCAACATCAATAGCCAATGACATTTCATAATAATGTAAAATAGACAACACATAATAACTTAAGAGATACTACGCTCAACTCCTTCATAGTTACATGAGAGTAAACATGCTTTTCAAATCTTTCAATGAAATGAATTAAACATGAGTTTATCAAAAGAACTGTGTTTTTCCCAATTACAACATCACATAAGCCCTTTTTGTTTACCAATTATCATGCAGAAAATACATCTCTATGCCTACACGAAAAGTATACATGTCAAGTAATCCAATGGCATATCACCGTCTAGCATGAGAAAGGTACATCTCTATGCCTACATGTCAAATATATATATCAAGTAATCAAATGTCATGTTATAGTCTAGTATGAGGAAGGTATATCTTTATGCCTACATGTCAATTATACATGTCAAGATATCGGTTTCACAGTGGTATCATTAAGTACACAATCTTAGCACACTCCAGGTGGCTGACTCAAATGCCCCAAACAATATCACCGTGGATCCATCAAAATAATCATACTTAGCACTGTAAGGGGTCATTTGGATACGGCTTATGCCGGGATAAGTTATGCTGGGATTAGTTATGGTGGGATTAGTTATCATGTTATTATTTTTTATCCACTGTTTGGTATGTTGTATTAAAAATGACAATTGCATAATTTCTTTGAAGAAGGTATAAGTTTTTCCGACACTAATTACCCCACTCTCTACAAGGTATAAGTTATCCCGGTACTAATTTTAATCCCGGGTTAACTTATACCAGGTTTGCTAACCAAACAAAGTATTAAGGTGGTATTAAATTTAACACTGTGCATGCGCCCACTGCTGGCATGCCAGACTCCGGAAGGGCGGATCTTATCCAAGCGCTAATCATAATCACATAGCCCAAATAGTAGGGCCTAGTGCACGCGTAGCCTTAAATCAATATAGCTTAGCCCAATGTTGGGCATGTGATACACGTCACCTCAATATTAACATAACCATTGCGGCATGCAACCCGATCCATATTTCCATATCAGTACAGCTCTATAGCCCACATTAGTCATCAATCCGCTCAAGTCTAAATATGCAGACATCTCACAGAAACAAAATCCAACAATATAACACGGAATATCACATGTCTCAAATATAGTTCAAACTCGTGTCACGTACAAGGACACCAATAATATGTGCGGCGAAATATCAAAAGTGCACAAAGAAAAAGATATAACATGCAGATGTAACTATCACGATTGTATAGTGTGACTACGGCTAAGGCCATAGCTCAACATGGCATAAATAGTCCTATCATGACTCAAACAATTGACTAGGTAGCCTAGGCATGATTTCTAGCATGAATAATATATCACGTAGTCACATAAATGGAGAAAACATGATATCAAGAAAGCATGATGGCAAAACAAGGCATATAATAGCCTAAGAACTATACGGATCATGAATACCTATGTGCATGCACCCGCGCCTGTAACCTAGCAAGTGCGTCACCCGCAACCCATCTTATATATCATAGTTCTCAGGGATATTTACCCTCAAATCCAAGTTTAGATATGTTACTTACCTCAAGCAAGCCAAATCAAATACCGAGCAAGCCAATCAAAACTCTAGAAATGCCATCCCGCAAAATTAACCTCCGAAAGGCTCGAAACTAGGCAAAAGCAACTCAAAAATATCAAA